TTATGGTAACATCAAATATAACGAAAATCAAAAAAAATCAATTACACGCCAAATAATATATGCGTTATTGTATTGATAGATGTCGTACTAAAGTCGTATTCTATGGAAGCCAGGTTGTCATTATCAGGAGTGAAACATTTACCTGGAATGAGGTACGTTCATTGGTTATATCTTGCAAGATGTAAAATAATTATTTATATGTCCACCTTCTTTGTCCATCGATACTTTTTACTATCTTTCAACTCTTCTGATCACAGTGGAACTCATTTGATTTTAAAAGCCACGGAAAGTGACGGAGAGTGCCGAATTTAACGAACTAGTCGAACACTTTAATAATGTTAAGTTTTACTTACCTGTAAATTACTAGGGGAACACAACATTTATTTTCTTCTTTTGGTAACAAAATGTTAACTCTAGAATAGGGAGCGGGTGTTTTCGGTTGTATGTAACCGAATGTGACTTTATCTTCGCTTACTAGCACGTAAAGCACATGTACAACAAATAGATAAAATAACAATTGAAGTTAAGATTTTAAACCAACAAGGTTTACTTATCTTCACGAGCACTTTATATATCTTGAAATTATTTAAACATAACATGTTACACTTACCTGTACTGCCTTTGCTGCAAACAATTTGAATAACGCGTCCACATTCACACTTTACATTGTGTTTCTCGGCGGTACCACTGTGCGGACCGCGGGGAAGGCTCGACCTGGGACTCTTCGAACTCTCGCGCTGCGTCCTATGAAAGACACAATAACCATTATAACTAAATAACAACCAACCCTTATAACCCTAAATACTTGTCAATTTTTCAATCTTGACAAAAACATTCATCATTGTATGAAAATTGTTTTTCTTTCTTCAAAATATGTTCTGAATGAAAAGAGTGCTGACCAAGATCAGTCAGCAAGGGGAAAGGAAGGCGCCTGCTGACTGTGGTCTACACTGGTCGCACGGGTAGAATCATCGTGCATGCAGGCTAGGGATTTCAGCTGGGACTTTGCAGTCTGTCCTTTTGTTTTCATTATCGATTATAAAAGACGTGCATGAATATCTAAATGTGACATCATGCCTATCCTAGTGTTAAACGTCAGTGCACAGGTAAAAGTCCTAAACATTTGTCATTTTATTTCTCCTGATTAGATATTTTAAAGTCCTGATTAGGAATTGCAAAGTCCTAAAATGCTCTCGTGAATCCTAATTAGGAGTAACAAAGTCCTTTTAAGGCTTTTCAAGTCCTAACTAGGCTTTTAAGAATCAAAATTATTCGGAGTGAATACTATTTTTTTTTGGCACCAAGACGCTTTCATAGTTAAAAGATATAACCACAATAAATATATGAACTCTTATTATACCTGTAGACATTTGGCGGGGGTCTTAAACTCAGACGTCTGCTCAGTCTGCGGGACCTATCATGGTCCTCGCCCCTCTCAGGAGTTGCTGGATCCGATGCGCAATGTCTCGGGGTTTCTATAGATATTAACGACAATGGTGCGACCGAGTCCTTTCTTGCAGGTACATGAGACTGTCTGATTGTCTCTATCAATGAGTTCTTTCGTGTACCGTCCAACGGTATTTCTGACGACTCCATGATCTGGAATAAATAACACTAGAGATAAAAAAAAGGAAATCACAAGCTCGTTAAAGATCGGCAAATCCGCCACTTTCCGCATACCACAACAATTTCAATTTAAGCGTTCTAAGATCACAAGTACAGAACTCCTGGCACATAAAATACTGAATTTGTTGAATTTTAACAATCCTTATAATAAGGTAGAATGTTCTTATACTTATAGCTGTTAACAAAATGGCATATTCCTACTATTTCAGAGTTACATAACACAATCGAAGCAGATAGATGGGCACAAGTCTTTAATTATTTAATATGCAATAAAAAAAATGGCGATAACATTCTTAAAGAAGAAAAGCAGTTAATGAAGCAGATTTTTTTTTTTTTTTTTTTTTTTTTTTTTTTTTTTATCATAAATCAGCAAGAGTAAATTACACACGTACTTAGTATGTGAACTTGCTTATATAATAAATAATGTTTTTTTTAATTACAATGTACTTGTATTATTAAACTTGAACGAAAAGTACATATCGTGTCGGAAGAAGAGTAACGCACAATTTTATATAACAATTCCTGCAAGGGATTATAATACATAAATGGTGACTATCCTTCAATACGCAGTAAAACGTAATCACAAAGATGACACCGTTCGTCTGCCTTACATTCCATATCTATGGCCCGAATTTGAGTAGCCCTATAACATGAAAACATAAACATGGCATAATACAGGATGTCACGTGATCGAGATCTTTGTACATTTAAAAGACGAAAGTTTGCGTTCTAATGTGGACACATGTTTCTGTGCAGCTGCGTGTCACATGCCGTTTGAAATTTATATAAATGATTTTCGAAAAGTTTAATATTCAGGAAAGGGAAGAGATACCATATTGTGCATGCACGAGACACGTATACAGGGTCAATACTTCTTTCTTGCCACATTTGTCACGCCCGTTTAACTCACAACGAGTGTAAAATGTCCATCGGTAAAAATGTTGTGAGTAACGTCCGTTCCTCGCTGTGAGCATCAATCTAGGACGTGTGACACAATAAACAAGGTGAGTTTTTCATAATTTTTGAAGATAACAGACATTTATATAAAAATATCGGTATGCAGTTAGCTAGCAATTTGTTTTCCGAGTATGCACATGTAAAGATATTGCCTGTTGGCGGACAATTTGATGGAAATATCGTCCAAAGCAGGCACTCGGGGTAGATGGAAAACTTGAGACAACTTCTGTCCAGACCAAATTAAACATTGAAAACGTCGATTCTGGTGAAGTTTTGTGCATTCTATCCAAAAACAGATGTCTGGTTTTAATATGTCATTCAGACATTTTATACTCGTTGTGAGTTAAACGGACGTGCTTGTCAGGACCATCCAATCGGAACACCTTTACTATACTAAGAAGAGGGGGTATATTGCTTTGCACTTGTCGGTCCGTCGGTCTGTAGACCAAATGGTTTCCGAGTGATAACTAAAAAAACCCTTAGGCCTAGGGACTTCAAACTTGGTATGTTGATTGGTCATGACCAGTCGATGACCCCTATTAATTTTGAGGTTAAGTGGTCAAAGGTCAAGGTCACATTGACCTTGTTGGTTAAAATAATTTCCGATCAATAACTAAAGCTTAGGCCTAGGAACTTCAAACTTGGTATGATGATTGTTCATGACCAGCTGATGACCCCTATTGATTTTGGGGTCAAGGAGTCAGTGACAAATTGACCTTGTACTTAATGATGATTTCTGACCAATAACTCAACAACTCAAATTGCCATGGTTGATATTTTTATATTAAACTAAAAATGCTTTTGGTATACACATTTGAAGGTCGTATGTAATTTAACAACTGTGCTGTCATTATTGAGGCCTACATGATTCATAAAACTTATGCATATATTATTTGGTAAGATTAGTAACAACTTAGTTTGCTAAGTCATAATAATTATTACTATGACCAGTAGATAATCCTTATTAGTGTTTTGTTCACTGGATCAGAAGTCATGTATAATAACCTGATCACATGACCAACGGGCTGCCAATAGGGGGCTCACATGTTTTAAAAACATATCTTGTTATCTCGGACTTGATAAGGTTGAAAATAGTCTTACCACATGGTTTTAAGATGTAAGCACAATCAGAGGGTGTACTCTTCGATTGTGTATAACGAATGTATACATTTGACATCCAAAGAAAAATAGTTTTATTTTGGCAAAATTATGTTTGTAATATATGCCTGACAGAAATAATCGTTTAAAATGCCCACTGATGTATATTCAAGATCAATTCCGAATTTATGTCAACAGGTAGACATTTTGTAGGTTCTGTATGATAAGTATATAAGTGAAGTACTGTTATGTTTATATTTATGAAAAATCTAATGTTAGTCAAAAACTCCCTGCATTAAATTACTATTTGTTTCTTAGCGTACGTTATTCTTAGCGTAGGTTAGTCCATTCTACTGTGTAATGACTGTGTATACGGGTCTTATACGACGTTTGACGGAAATGGCCGAGAAGATGCGATTGTCATGGCCCTCTGCGCATGACGTGGCATTAGGGGGGTTATGTAACTTCTCACCCTAAAACATTTTTAAAAGGTTTTTTAATCCCTATATACAAACTGAGAGGTTAGGGCCTCTGTAAGAATGCTAGAAAAGTGCCGGCCGCTCAAAGAATATATCATTTGAATGTGATTAGAAAATTGCCGCGCATGCAACTTTCATACAAATATCTCTTATAATAAAATACAATTAAAAGGGAGTTTAATTACACTTATTTCAAAACATTTAGGCTCTTAGGCTCTTGTGTCAGTACTATCTTAAGTACAAGGTTATGGGAAACGAAGTCAATTTTCAACAGCGCTGTTTAAAAATATATCACTGTGGTTTTAATCTCCGATATGTGTTAGTTCCTCGCATATACATGTATAGATATTTAGATATCAGACTATTGTCTTTTAACAACGGTCCTTTTTACTACACAACAATATATATTAAAATAATCCCGAATTACAATTAAAAAAAGGACAAAATGAAATGCATATTTAACATTTTAAAAGCATACAACGACTTGTCTGTTAAAAAAAAACATATTATCAAAATAATTTATACACCTACCTCCGCTTTAAGAATTTTTAATCCAACTTTAGCTAAGTAGCACGTGTGCGTGTATATGTATCTATAATAGAATATCTTATTCACATTCAATCATATATTTTTTTATAAATCCTTGCTTTAGATAATTATATATGAGTTCCGGGTATTCTCACATATTTATCGGTATCTCCTGTTCAATTGTTAAAAAGTGGACCACATTATCACCTATGTTACATGTACTTGATGCTCGTTTATCAGTCATTTAGCATATCATTTGCTCATAGCACAAAAATCACAAAAACAACGTCTAATTCTGCCTATACCGTTATCAAATTATATATAAACGTCCGTGGTGATAATTTGTACAGTATTTTCTGAAACGTTATAAAGGTTTAATAATACTGCACGTTTGTAACGTCATTTTTCAATGGATAATCGTGAATTTTATATTATTAGTTATAAAGATCGTTGACAGGTTATATGGCCCTATATAAACGGCTATTTGTAAATATAACCCGAGCCGTTAGGCGAGGGTTATATTGCAAATAGCCGTTTATATACGGCCATATAACCTGTCAACAATCTTTTTAACGAATTTATAATACAGCAAGCATCATTTTTAGAGAAAAAAGTAAGATTTCTTTATAAATCGACAGCAGCCGTGTATATAAAACTATATAAACGTCACGATTATCCAATGAAAAATGACGTTACAAACATGCAGTATTATAAAGTTTTATATACACGGCTGCTGCCGATTCATGAAGAAATCTTACTTTTTTGCTCTAAAAATGATGCTTGCTGTATTATAAATTCGTTAAAAAGATCGTTGACAGGTTATATGGCCGTATATAAACGGCTGTTTGCAATATAACCCTCGCCTAACGACTCGGGTATTTACAAACAGCCGTTTATATAGGGCCATATAACCTGTCAACGATCTTTATTACTGATAATATAGGCCCAGAAGAAACGGGTGTATGCATATATTTCCCGAACTGCTTTGCTGGGGCTACTAGTGTAAAACAAAGAATCTATCATACATGGATATGTAACCTCTCAGAAGTTTTTATAAAAAAATTCACTATACACTCAAATTGCTTTCTTTGATATGAAAACTGAAATAGTTTAGTCCTATATATACATGTAGATACGGTAATATAACACCCCAGATACACAGAGCCATCGGTGATTGATCGGTAGTTTTTTTAGCCAAATTATGGGATGAACCGATGACAATTGGTCACCTGTTTTCCACTTATCAACTGCTATTGGGGAAAGATAAGTTTCATCGGTGAAAAATTACTGATTGGGATTTTTAAACATGTTTAAAATTCTCGATCGGTGAAAATATTTTACAAATAACCGACAGCAACCTATATCACGAGATATGCAAGTCCTTAATCACCGATATAGCCGATTGGACAAAGATAACCAAATATGAATCACCGGCCATATCTGACGGAAAGTGTTTAACCACTGATGACTAGCTATCAAACACCGATTTATTAGCGTTACGCCCGATTTAGCTCCGATTTACAAACGATAACAATTGAGAGTTTTTCAGCATTTTTATAACCGATCCAACACCGTTTGAGTTTGCTTTCGGTCACCGATGGCCGTTTACACAGAAAACCAGAAATAAAATCACGCATGACAACCGATCATAACAGCGAGTAAATTTAAATGACCGATGGGGACCGACCTTCTGTGTAACTTCGGCCTAACCCGTTACAATGAAAGCCGGCAAAACGTGCAGTAACAGAACGTAAATATTTCTATGGAGTCCAAATAGGGCCCTATTGATAAATGTAGATCATTGCTATTATACGAACCTCCGGACAAACTACCCGCGGCACTGAGCAATGAACATTTCAGTACATTAGTTAATGCGGATACGAGTAGGTAAATGGGTAGACTGAACGACAATAACTAGTTTCAGATTCATGTAATATGCAACTGGTTGTAAGAAACAGACGAACATAAAAATAAAAGTCACAAATCACTAATATCACAATAAAAGAATACAAGTATTACTATCTGAATAAACAAAAAAGGAGATCATATTCTTCAGTTCAACTACTGAATTCAGTACTACATGTATTTTACATTGTAACAAATGGGAACGGAGAATGAGAAGTATATTCTAAATTTTAACATAATGTTTTTACAAAAAAAAAGAGATAGTTTTAGAAGAGTTTTTTATCATAACTATTCATTTATCTGTCAAGTTTAAAAATAATGGGATGAATGAAAAAGAGTATTACGTCTGATGTCATTTAAGTACGAACATTCAAATAAGTAGTGAAATTCATCATCAATAGCTTGATACGGACATAAGGAATAGAGTTCATTATTATGATCATTTGCCAAATATCTGCCCTTTTAAATTGGTAATTCTACTTACATAAATATTTGCCAATGTCAAATGGAAGTAAATCTAGATAGATATTTTTCAAGACAATGATATTCTAAAGCTTTCTTAATCCTACCAATAACAGTGATAAACAAGTCAAACCAAATTGAATTTCATTTTTATATGATCCACGTTTAATGTAAGCATGGCAAATCATTGAACAAAGTAAGTCTTGGTGTAGCACGAGACTTCAGAATTTGTTGTCATTTTCCGTAACAGATAATAAAATTATTGCTCAATACACAGCAACGTAAAATGATCAAAGTCAATTTAACAGAGAATTTCTATGTTTATCACCATTCCTTTCTTCTTCACAGACTGTTATCAGAGATGGTCGCATGTAGGACCAAGGAAGTATTAGAAAGCGTATAATGTTAACAGAGGTGTACTAATGCTATATTTTTACTAAACCAACATAATGGGTTTGCGACCAGCATAGATCCAAATCAACCTGCACATCTGCTCAGTCTGATCAGGATCCATGCTGTTCGCTATCAGTTTCTCTACTTGTTATAGGGTCTGTCAGCGAACAGCATAGATCCTGATCAGACTGCGCGGATGCGCAGGCTGGTCTGGATCCATGCTGGTCGCAAACCCATGGCTCATTTTAACTATATCAAACTACGAAATGAAGAAATGGCACCAACAGTCTTCCATAGTTTCATCATCAGTTCTACACGATGTCTCTTTGTGTCCTATCATTTCCTGTTTGGTTGAAGAGGTTCTTTTTCAATATTTCAGATAAGATAACGCATTTAAATAGAGAAATTATGCCATCATATGGTTTTAACTTAAATAACATTTTCGAAATAAGAAAAAACAACAAAGGACGAATAAAAATATGCTTGATTTGTAAAATACTAATCGAACTGTCTTTATTCAGAATATACATGTAAATGAAACCGATAATAGACAGATAATAAATAGTCATACGTTAAGAGTCGTGCGTCACTAGCAAATAATTGGTCTTAAAAAGGTTCATTTCCTCTCTTTAATTAAAATATGGTTATTAACGATCTGTGACATATTCTTGTGTTGTAACAGTGATTTTCAAACGAGTACCGTTAATTTTGCCATTGAACTACTCGAATAGGGAAGTCAAAAATGTCAATTGTCGTCATTTAGTAGGTTTGCTCAGAGATATTTTAGCGTGTTTCACGGAATGAATATAATAGTAATAGAATAAAAAAAAACTCTCACGCGTGTGCCATTTGATGGAACGTGTTAATTCATCCTCGTTGTTTGTTAAGGCCTATTCACTTTCATTGATTGTAAAGGCGTTTTCACACTAGATGACTGCAAAGGGGTATTCACACTCGTTGACTGAAAAGTAGTATTCACACTCGTTGACTGCGAAGGGGTATTCACACTCGTTGACTGCAAAGGGGTATTCACTCTCGTTGACTGCGAAGGGATATTCACACTCGTTGACTATGCGCAAAGGGGTACTAGTATTCACATTCGTTGACTGCGAAGGGGTATTCACACTCGTTGACTGCAAATGGGTATTCACACTCGTTGACTGCAAAGGCTATTCACACTCGTTGACTGGCAAGGGATATTCACACTCGTTAACTGCAAAGGGGTATTCACACTCGTTGACTGCAAAGGGGTATTCACACTCGTTGAATGCGAAGGGATATTCACACTCGTTGAATGCGAATGGATATTCACACTCGTTGACTGCGAAGGGATATTTACACTCGTTGACTGCGAAGGGATATTCACACTCGTTGACTGCGAAGGGATATTCACACTCGTTGACTGTGAAGGTCTTTTTACCTTCGTTTAATGCGGAGCCTAGGGGTATTCACACACGTTTATGAAGAAGTGTATTCACACTCGTTGATCGTGAAGATATTCATCCTTTTTGATTGTGTATGTCTTTTCATACTATTTAGTTGTAACGGTGTTTTCACAGTCGTTGACTGTGAAGGTAAACGTACACACGTTTGTTGTAAAGGTGCATTCAAACTCGTTGATTGTAAAGGTGTATTCACACTCGTTGATTATGAATGTGTTTTCACACTCGTTGGCGGTAAAGGTGTATTCACACTCGTTGATTGTAAATTGTGTAATTGTGAAGATATATTCATACTCGTCAACTGTGAAGAAATTTACACTTGTTGCTTGTAAAGGTGTATTCACCTTTGTGAAGGTATATCCACACTCGCTGATTGTGAAGGTGTATTCACATTCGTTGATTGTGAAAGTGTTTTAATATTCGTTAATTGTGAAGGTGCGTTCACCTTTGTTGATTGTTATTGTGTATTTACCCTCGTTGGTCCAAACTATTTGATTGTAATGGTATGGTGTATTCACACTCGTTGATTGCGAAGGAGTATTCACACTCTTTGACTGCAAAGGGGTATATACACTCGTTGACTGCGAAGGGATATTCACACTCGTTGACTGCGAAGGGGTATACACTCGTGTATGTGAAGGGATATTCACACTCGTTGACTGCAAAGGGCTATTCACACTCGTTGACTGCGAAGGGGTTTCACACTCGTTGACTGTAAAGGGGTATACACACTCGTTGACTGCAAAGGCTTTTCACACTCGTTGACTGCGAGGGATATTCACACTCGTTGACTGCAAAGGGGTATTTACACTCGTTGACTGCAAAGGGTAATTCACACTCGTTGAATGCGAAGGGATATTCACACTCGTTGACTGCGAAGGGATATTCACACTCGTTGACTGCGAAGGGATACTCACACTCGTTGACTGTGAAGGTCTTTTTACCTTCGTTGAATGTGGACCCTAGGGGTATTCACACACGTTTATTAAGGAGTGTATTCACATTCGTTGATCGTGAAGATATTCATCCTTTTTGATTGTGTATGTCTTTTCATACTCTTTAGTTGTAACGGTGTTTTCACAGTCGTTGACGGTGAAGGTGTACGTACAC